CACTGCCAAGTTACTCGCACTCGCCCCCCTTGGGACAGGAAGAACGTGCCAGCACTACCATGGATATCAAAGGGCCTCTTGAAAGAGATCAAGGATAAGCACAGAAAACACAGAATATACGTTCACTCACGCTCGCCCGACGACTGGAACACGTTCACTGCCCAAAGAAACCGTGTCACCACCCTCCTGCGTCGTGCAAAATCGGATTTCGTAAACAACTCAACAGCCTCCTCTACTTCCCTACACCGCCTCATGAAGCACCTAACTACAGCTACAAAACAACGCATACCCGAACTCGTCACCCAAGCAACTCCTGCAACGACACCAGCACAAAAAGCCGCTACCCTCAACGAATACTTCATTTCACAGAGCAAGCTGTCCGTGGCCAATGCGGATGAGCAAACCCCAGCCATCAACACCACCCCTGACATCCTCAGTCCCCTTCAAGAAATCTCGACTTCCCAAGCTGAGGTCGAAAAACTCCTCCGCGGAGTTGATACCAACAAAAGCCCAGGGTTCGACTCTATTCCAAACCGCCTACTCAAAGAAGCGGCTAAGGAACTTGCACCGTCGTTATCGTCCCTCTTTAATCTATCGTTCCAAACCGGAGAAATCCCACAGGAGTAGAAAGATGCCACCATTACTCCAGTACCCAAGCCTGGTGACCCAACCCAACCCACAAACTACAGACCCATCTCTCTCTTGAGCACAACATCCAAAATCCAAGAAAAAATTGCACATCAACTCCTCTACAACCACATCACACCCCACCTACCCAACCAGCAGTCCGGATTCCGTGAGAAAGACGGCACTGAGAAGCAGCTTGCCCGTCTCGTCCATACCCTCTCCACTGCGAAAGACGACGGGAAACACGTCAATGCCTGCTTTTTTTATCTAAGCAAGGCCTTCGATCGTGTGTGGCATGCAGGCCTTCTAGCAAAACTCTCCCACTATGGTGTCCAGGGCGACGCCCTGGAGTGGTTCCGACGGTACCTCTTGGGGCGTCGGCAGAGGGTCCAGGTGGATGGCGACCTATCGACTTTCCTCGACATCCCTTCCGGCGTCCCTCAGGGATCTGTTCTTCGGTCGCTTCTATTCCTCGTCTACACCATAGACCTTCCACATGCATGTGAGAATCCCGGCACCACCTGTAGCCAGTTTGCAGATGACACCGCTCTGATTTCCATAGCGAGAACTCTTCAAGACTGCACCCGAAACCTACAACAGAGTGTCACAGCAGCTGGAGACTGGCTTCAAAGATGGCACCTGCTGGTTAACACAAAGAAAACAGTCATCCTCCCGTTCTACCACAATAACCGCCCTCCTGAACAGCTACCCCAGATCACCCTCAGGAATAGTCCGCTTACCGTAGCACAAAAACACAAACACCTCGGAATAATCTTTCAGCATGACCTCCGTTGGACGGAGCATGTTGAATACATAGTTAAAAAATCAATCAAGTCTTTCAATATTCTTTTTAGACTAAGGTCTACACTCACCAGTGATTCTTTATCTCACATCTATTAGACATACATACTACCTATATTCTCATATGCGAGCAATGCTCTCACACCGTTGTCACACACTTCCCTTGACAGGGTAGAACGACTCCAGCGGAAAGCCGCCAGAATATGTCTCCACCTTCCCCTTTACACACACTTAGAACACTCTCACCTTTCGCATCGCATCAAATGGCCAACATTATTTTCACGCTTTAAAGTTAAACATATACTCTTCGCGCATTCTCTGCGCCATAATTATGCCCCACCACATATACTCTCGCTGCATACTGCTAGCAACGTGCAACCTTCGTATAATTTACGTCGCTCTCGTACTTGGCACTTGCCAACTCCGCGGACTGACCGCTGTCTCCATTCTCCCCTGTACAAGGCCCTTCATTACTTTAATTGCTTGCCCGCCCAGCTTCGCGAAATCCCTTCTCGTACTCCCATCAAATCCGAGATATCCCTGCTGTTGCACAACTCTGTATGCTCGTGTAGCGACCACCCCTGCCCGTACACTTTAAGGGGAAGTGCATCGATTTTTCGAGTAGGGTCCAGAAGAAAGACAATTTGATATCGGTTCGAATGGCATATCTCTCGCTTCCATACGATAAGCCAAACTTGCCAAATCGTCAATTGCATGCTCACGTTGTCATAGCGACCAGCAGAGTGATGACGTACGAAAGGCTTAGCTCCTCCACAGAGAAGGTCGATCACTGCAGAAATTGGTCATTTTCAATTGTCTTATTGTATTCACGATGTGAAAGAAGTGCTGTGTTCAATGCTGTTAGTGCCGTGAACTATTTGTCGCCCTTCTCATGCATTTCCCTAGGCTGACTGTGCCTAGGAAATAGTTTCCTCCAGGACAAGATGCTTGGAATTCGCCGTCTCTCCTGGGACATTTTCAGCAAACTTTCAAACCTACGACATTATTTCATTCGTCAATCTCCACCACCCGTCGTCTCACCTGGCTTCAGAAGATATTACGAGAGATAGGAGAGTCGCCAGGAAGCATCACATTCATCTTCAGGAAGTGGAAAGAGCAAACGGCATGGTCCTTGGTTGGGGGAAATGCTGAACGTCTCATTTGTCCCAACCAAGATTTCAGCATTTTGTTCGTCAATATTTTCGCTTGTCTGCTGGTGTCTCCGCGCTCCAGCTTTCTCCTGTCGGTGTCACGTCCCAGTACACAACCGAGAGGACTACTAACAAACAGTTCACTGCACTTACAGCATTGAACACAGCCCTTCTTTCACTTCGTGAATACAATAAACCAATTGAAAATGACCAAATTCTGCAGTGATCGACCTTCTCTGTGGTGGAGCTAAGCCTTTCGTACGTCATCACTGCGCTGGTCGCTATGGCAACGTGAGTATACAATTGGCGATTTGGCAAGTTTGGCTTATCGTATGGAAGCGAGAGATATGCCATTCGAACCGATAGCTGTGGTTGGCTTTCACCCTTGTCTCAGTTTTACTGGCCGTCATCATGATGTGCCATGAGATAATAATAATAATAATAAATACAAAATATAAAGATATCAAATTGTCTTTCTTCTGGACCATACTCGAAAAATCGATGCACTTCCCCTTTAAGTACACAACTCTGTATGCTCGTGTGGCTACCACCCCTGCCCGTACACTTAAGTAGTCATTAACACTTACGCCCTGCCCACCCAATTCTTCCTCACTCTTTCTCCTTTCTTACACTATTATCTCTTATTGGCCACTGGCTATCGTGAGAATAAAGATGTGAAACAACAACAACTGATCAAGCTCGCTTTTTTTTAATCGACTCGGGCTAGAGAAGGTTGAGAGTCGTGCTTTCAAGCGCGATATGAAGATGGAAGTGCGTGTTCATGTCAGAAATCCAATCAAAATGGTCGGGTTCATGTTCTATCAGCCAATCACAGCCCTTCGCGAAGTATTCACAAGTTCGATATGAGTTTCAAGCGTGGGTGCATGTCAGAAGAAATGCAATCAAACCCCTCGTACTCTTGTTCGATCAGCCTGCATCACAGCCCTTCGCGCTTCGCGATCTCACACTCGTACTCTTGCTTCATTCCATACATCATACACGGTCTGGAGGGCTTGATGGCTGATTCAGGTTTTACAGTACCGTTTCTATGGTTGTAGCCAATGAGCGACGTTCCCGCGGTGGCCTTGATGAGCCGATAAAGCCCGTCGTCAATGGCACCACGTACTCCGTCAGCGTGTGTCAAGTGTGTCTACACATCGTGATCAGTTTCCAGCCTACTTCTTCTTCGGAAAATCTTGAGCAAAGAAAAAAAGCAGTAGATCGCAAGAGCAAAGAAAAAAAAACAGATCGCCAAATCTCACACTCGTACTCTTGCTTGACTCCATACTTCTGACAGCTCACAAGACTGTAGGCACGGAGATGACCAATCGAAATGCACCTACATGTACATGTAGCAGGGCCTACATCATACTACATGTAAATGTACAATGAAGTCATTGAAGGTCAGGCGATCAAAGCATGCTAGAACTCCGTATTTAATATTTAGTGGAGCGAGCTTTGATTTTCCCATCAAAGCCAGCCGAGGCGGGCTTTTACCTCAGCGCAAGGTTTGAACTGGGAACCTCATGATTCGCAAGTACATGTAAGCCTCCGTATGTACGGCGCAAGAACTGGGCAACGTTCCACGCAAATTTACACTCGATTATATTTTTAGGGCCGTTGCACACTACGTAGAAAACAGCTTTTTTGCTGACCTCGAACAGTAGAAGGTTGCGTTTTAGTGTTAGTTGTCCTGCACGAGGGGAATGCAGTTCGCCCTGCCCCTGCTGCCCGCGAATATCGTGTCCCAGGGTTGTTGAAAACGTAGACCCGTGCACATAGCGCTGGGTCGGGGGACCGGGGTAACACCATTTCCACAGCCAACGCCAGGTCTTCCTCAGCTACAGATAAAATTAGCTCATGCGATAACATTGCACAACACTGACCGCGTAACTTGTAGAAACTTGTAGTTGTAGTTAAGGATCAAGGGATCCTTTTCTTTTCTATAAATATATCCTTGGCTTTCCATTGAAGTCCAATCATCTTTTCAGTTGAAAAATTAAGAATTCTACCAGAAAGAGGTTCTTCATGTTTACAAGTGCACCAGGAAGTCGTCAAATGCAGTACTGCAATTATTTGACGACTTCCTGGTGTGTAATTCTGAGCACAATTTGTTTTCTTTTTTTCACCTCTAGATAGCTGTGTTTTTCATTGCAAAACATTCCTGACTTGTGTTTGTTGTTCAAGCAAAGTTAAAGGCAGAGGACACATGACCCCTGAAAGTTTCGCGTGGCGCAGGAAGGCCACACACAACCACTTTGTGAGGATCTGAATATACCTTGTACATGTAATACTGAGTGCAAGATGCTGAACTGAATTTGTGTTATTTCAAACAATTGTTTTTGATCACAGTACCACATAGAGCAAAATCTGAATCTCGTCCACAAGCTAACCGACAGTCAGGCTGCCAACATGACTGTACAAATGATCCCTGCAAACACCCCATGGCAGAAGTCGGAGGCCAAGTTCAGTGCGGGGACGTACATTGTACAAGTACATGTACATCTCCGAAAAAAATTTCATCTTCGTCTCGATGCTACACTAGCACTGCAAGTCGTGCAGAGTCGTAGACACGTGATCACTGAAATAAACTATTTTTTGCGGGCAAGTAAATCTTTTTGCAGGCAATATCACATATTATTGCCCGCGGCGGGGGAAAAGTGCTGATTCGCCGAGTATGGGTAACAATCATGTGCCACGTGATAAGGGAAATTAGGTAATGGGTGCTGCTGCAAACAATGGGTGCTGCTGCAAACGAATTGAAATAGAAGTGAAACTGCAAGATTTAGATAAATTTCACAGACCAAAGGTACATACATGTACATGTGGTTCATTGCATAATTACAATTGAGATAATTATTTTCACACAAGAGAGACAAAAGAGAGATTGGAAGCTGTGCCGAAACTCTGAGTTTCACGTATCACTACGATCATCAGGCAACTAGGATAATTAATTTCATCTTTTCCTAATCCGTTTCTTGGCTTGGACATCAGCTTCAGTCCTTTGTTTTTGGACAACCGCTGCCGCCAAAAGGAAGATGGCTTCTCGGGGTTCTGGGCCAAATGTGTCACTTTCTTGGCCCTATACCATCGCCTACATGGCAAACCTCTGTCATTTCAGCATCATTTTCTTCAGCAAGTCGACTCTCCTGCATCATGCTGTTGGAATGCTTCTCAGTCCAAACCGCCGGTTGTGTGGCATCAGAGTATGGGGTATGGGACCTCCAAGTGGGAACACTGGCTGGTGATGAGGCCCACAGGGTGTCGGTGTCAAGGCTAGTTTCGATAGCCATGTTGTCCATTTCCAAAGACTCGTTCTGTGCTGGCAGGGTGTTGACATCACTCGACTTGGCTGTCTTAGCTCGGTGCGGCAGTGTGCTCAGCTTGCCCAAATCATCCATGGTGAACCGCTTCAGCGAGAAAAAATTACTGCCGAATCCCGTTGACCCGGTGCTTGTACGTGTCGTGCGCGTGCTGCTTGAAGTCCACTTCTCTGTCCATCCTTTCTTGGTTTCCGTTCCCCTGACTACATGGACAAAGATACCAAATCCCTGAAGTGAGCTCAGTATGGTGAAGATATACTGGAGAGTTATCTCATCCCAAACGAGAACAAAGAATCCGAACATCCACGTCAAGCCCAGGAGAACAGACAAGCAGACGACTATGGCAAGAATTGATACCTCCTTGGACTTGCCACTCTTCGCTGCGCCCAATTTCTTTTCCCGGTTGTGTAACGAGAAGCCAACTGCAGCGAGGATACAGGTGTTGTATAGAAGTGACATTCCCATTGGTGCTACAACACTGCCGTAAAATGCTCCGGAAACGGTTATCCAGCATCTGTGGAAAAGCAAGCAAGTGAACAATGAAGGGTAAGAAAAAGAAATGTGTTTCGACATGGAGTGAATATTCATAGAGCTACAGCTAAGATGGGAAGCCGGCGCATAGCTTGCATGGAGCACGATGTGGGGTGGGGGACGGCATGTGCACCCCTAACAACTTCAACGTAATAATAATGACCATAATTCCATGCACCAGCCATCCTTCACATGCCGTGCACCCCCCTACAACGGGAACCCGCTGTGCCCTTGAGAAGCTCTCAGGAACTTAGTTGAATGTAGGTTTTAATTATCAGCTGATGTCATAGAATATCTCCTCTTTACAGTCCATTCTCTCAAAACGGACAACTTGACGTGTGTCTTGCACAGGGTCAGTCATTCAGGTGTGGTGAAATAAAGTGTACATCCAGTACTGAGCAAAACATCGAATTTTTCATTGCCCAATTTGATGTCTGAGAAAGCCAACGGATGAGGATTCAGATTTATGGCCCAGCTTCACACCAAGAAACAAGAGCACCATGGCAACATGTACGGAAAACGGGTACGATATGCAGATAAAATTTAGAGTCTTTGAACTAGGGCAAACTCGGTCTCGGAAAGGCCAGCCGGACTATCAGGGATGAACGGGTATACAGGTCACCTGAATCGGGAAAAAGACTAGACATACAAGAACAATTTGCAAGATTACTATCCGGTACAGACACTTAATTCAAATATCCAACTTGACAAAAGGCAACTCACATGTCATCCCCGCCGTATGCAGTAGCGTTTGTTGCACCCACAGCCGCACAAACAATAACGAATGGTACGACTGTAGACAGCAGAAGCACAGGAATAAATCCCAACCAATAGTCAGTATAACTCAGATATTCCCACGGCAACAGAGAACACCTACGGTTATAATTATAATGATAACGACACCAACAAGTTCATTGAAAACGAAGTAAAACTGCAGTTCGAAGCAGCTAAGCAGCCTGGATATGATTTTTTTGGAGTAATACCATGTACCAACATAATTATTCTTGAAATTCGATCTATCTGATTTTTCTTTAATTATGGAAGAGATTATGCAAGTAGATTGGTAAGAGCCCAGAACGATGATTTAAACCTGTGAAATTGCCCAAACCCCTCAGAAATGGCCCAAAATAGACTAATACACTTGCCAAATATAGATGCACGGAGTAGCTGCTTTTCTCTCAATCCTGACTGGTCAAACACAATCACAATGCTCCGGTAGAGGAAGGTTGCATCCACTGACATCCACATGAACGCACACATTAGAAGATACAGTCAACTTCGCTAATAACGACTGCGGATATAACGACAATTCGCGAATAACGACCGAATTTCCATGCCCAGAGCAAAGTCCCATCTAACTGTATACATTTTACTTCGGATATAACGACTATCTGAATAACGACAATTCGCGTATAGCGACATGCTTTTAGTGCCCCGAGGTCATATTCACTGCTTGAATAACGACTTTCTGGGCTTTTGACAGCTATTTCAAGTACCTGTCAGTCAAGTACATGTACATGTACCTGTCATGCAGAAGTACCAGAACCTATGCCTATGGTGATGGATATTATTATAAAGGCACACATGCAAGAAAATGCAGCCAATGGGGGGGGGGGGGGGGCTTTTTCTTCCTTTTTTGTTGGCTTCAAAATTGTTGGATTTACCAGCACACCTATTATGTATACACTTATGTACATGTAGTTGTACATGATTGTACAGTAATCATCATACATGTACATGTCCCTGGAAAACTACTGCCACCAATTTGCAGCCTACGACACTCTCCGTCAACTTCTGGTTGTAAAGTGCGAATGTGAAAACTGCCAGAAAGAGAAATAGAGTTAGGCACAGGCCGAAGATCATTTGGTGGTGGTCGCCTTTGCGCAGTCTCCTGAAACCAAGAGAGGCAAAAGAAAACCATGCAAACACATCTCTTCGTCACTTGGAGAATACAGTTTTGCCTTGGCAACATCATAATCGCAAAGTAATTCTGCTCGAGCTACGTCACCTCCCCTATTTCACTCTTTCTTTTCCCTCTCACAAGCCGAATGTTTTTTGAGAAGAATGCAATTCCGATTGTTAGATGAAGGATGAAACCAATTGTCATGAGTGGAGTGCAAAGTGATTGGCTGGGCCAACTGCAATGAATTCTAGTTGAAAACAAAGTGGCTAAAGGCACCAAATAGAGCATACACAGAAACTGGGACACTATGAGCATTGCATCACTGCATTAATGTATCAACTCTGAGAGACTGATAAAATAATTTCATATTACCTACTGGAGGATGCGTGCAGTGATGTGAAAGTACTGATTAGCACAGAGGCAGAGTTGTTGCCTGATGATTGCATTTAAAGGGGAAGTATACCCTAAAATAAAATGTTCACCAGTTGTAGTCTTCGGGGTGCTAAGTCGAATGGTCTTGGTCCGAGGAAGCTGATGCGCTCCCTTCCTCCTTTATTCCCAATCGAACTCACGCACTTACACCGACATTGGGTGACGGCGCCCTACTAGATAGGGATTTGTATGCAAAAGTCACTAAAAGCCCCGTTTCATTCTTATAAAAGCACGGTTGACCGCGATTGTTCCATATGTTGTAGAATTTTGGCCGCTGAGTCGACTGGTTTTGGTCTGAAAAGGCTGCGATGGAGCACTCGGCCCTCATGTCCAATCAAACACGGCTGAGTAAGCGGTCACGTGCTCATGCACACACAAGTCACCTGGTCATCGTGCCATCAGGATACAATTTACAGCCTGTTTTGGCCCGTTCCTATCACCCGAGTTGAACCTTTGTACCAGGGAGTCGTAAAAGCCTCTTACGACTCCCTGCTTTGAACTTTTGAGTTGAACCTTGGTATGAAAATTGTAGCCTGCAGGCACGGTGACCAGGCGACTAGTGTACGCATGAGCAAGTGACTGCTTACTCAACTGTGTTCTTTTTGGAATAAGGGCCGAACGCTGCATCGCAGCCTTTTCGGACCAAAACTGTCTACTCAGTGGCCAAAAGACTACAACATATGGACCAATCGCGGTTATCCGTGCTTTTATAAGAACGAAACGGAGTTTTAGTGACATTTTTTGCATGCAAATCCCTATCTAGTAGGGCGCAGTCACAAGTGAGCGAGTTCGATTGGGAATAAAGGAGGAAAAGAGCGTCTCAGCTTCCTCGGACCAAGACCATTCGACTCAGCACCCCGTAGATTACAGCTGGTGAAAATTTGATTTTAGGGTATACTTCCCCTCTAAGAAGCATGAAAATCAGCATTGCAACGACCCAGCTATATTCCACAGTTGTACTGTGTCAAATGGAAACAAGGAGAACGGTCGGTCTGTTGCTACCTTGTGCACATCTGAGTCTGTGACTGTTCAAAACCGTTTAGTTTAGTTGTTGGACCCTAACGCATAACTTGTGCCCCACCGTTTTCCTTGTTTACATTTAGTACATATATTTTCCTTGGCTCACCATCTGAGTACTTATTGCACTGTGAACATTGCACTCCAGTACTTACGGTATATATGCAATAACAAAGAGTGTGGCCAAAAGGCTGACCATGGATATTCCACAGCCGACCATGGACACATATTTCAGTCCAATCACTGCAGCGGTTTTCTCCAGTGGTATTTTCCGTGTCTAGGGTCACGCAGAGAGATAGATAGATACCAGTAGAAATTGAGATAAGTGGATGGAAAGATAGATAGAAGATAGAGAGATAGATGAGAGAGAGGAGGGGAGAGGGAAGTACAGAGACTCCATTATGATGCAGGACATGATTTTTTTCTTTTTTTACTAATAACACAGCTCCACTGGAAAACAGGCGGAAAACAAAAAGAAACAAGGAAAAATACAACACATAGGGGATATAGGGCCGACGTACCGATGTGCTGGGAGCAACTCAACTGACCAGAGGTCTCAGCGTCAGCGTTGCAACTAGGCATCGTAAAATGGATGGCGGGGGGGGGGGGGGCACAAAAACGACTGCAAAACGAGCAGAAGCTAGAGAATGCCACAAAAAAGGTTAACTTGCTGCGAAACAATGAGAAGAAAATAATGATGCCAAAAGCGCTAAATACGAAATTAAGAAAAGGGAAATCATAAACCTCATAGCGCTAGAGCTGCACCAAAGACCGAGAGAGCTTGACAACTCAGGCCCCTACGCTATGCTTTTTTGCCTAGCTCATCATGCATGTATTTAGAACTGATAGGCTACATGATCGTATTACCCATAGCCATTATTCGGACCTTGTGTCCACGTGTCATACACCACCGTATTCCACATTCACGCGTATTTGCTTTCTTTGTACAGTTTCTTTCCCGTCTTTCCGCTTTGTGTGCTTCGCTCACTTTTTCTTTCCAAGATCTTTTCCGTTCGGCGTTCTTCGCGAACTGCTCTCGACTTTATCACTGGTGGAGGTGTAATGTAGTGACTTCGTACATGCGTTTGTTGCACGTAAATCATTATTACAAATTTTGTAAAGATCAAGATCTGTCCTCTTCTGTCACGCATGGTTCCTCGTTCTCTTTCCTGCATTTCTTCTACCTCGTCATACACAACGGTATTCCACAGTCAGCCAGACTCGGCGGACAACGAATTTACTCAACAACCCATTTGAGATATTATAAGGTTAGTCTGTGTAAGCTGCAAGAAATGGCCGCGTAAAGCATCCAATTCTCAGCACAAGCAGTAAAACTCACAAGCAACACAGCAAAGTTGGTAAGGTGACTGCACTGGCAAATGGTCCTGTTCCACATTGCACCATCACGTGTTGTATTGCAGTCCAAGTTGCTCCATCCACCGTTGCCATCATCTAATGAGGGTTGAGCAAACAAAACACGCAAATGAGTGGGTTCATCCGCATGCTTGCATGTGTAATTTCATATTTACCTCTAGATGAAATTATTGTACTCTTTTTGGCGGAGTTAACGCATATCTGAGTATGATGACCAACACCCATTAATTACCAGCAATTTGGCCATTCCATGCACATCCGGAGTAAAATGCTTAGCCTGAATTTGAGAGAACTATCTAATATCCAGACAAGAGATCAATAACTTTAGTACGACCATTGACAAGATATCAACAGATATATATATAATGCATGTGAGCGGCGCCTCCTGTGGCTGGGGCACATTGCGCGGGAAGGACCGGACTCTTACAAGGCACTGCAGCTAGCCCTCAAGAATTTGGACATCAGGCGCCCCCGTGGACGATCTCACAAGATGGGTCGACAACATCAAAGAAGACCTCAAGCCTCTGAATGTGCCGATTCAGGAATGCCTCAACCTCGCCACCAACAAGAAACTCTGGTTAACGATCATTGACAGATGCATGACCCCATTTGATTTGTTTATGCAGGCAATATGCGACCTGTTTATGTTATTGTTGTGTGTGTGTGTGTTATAATGCATGTGCTGTCTATGGGGTTTCATAGCCATAACTTTCCTCATCCTCCTCATCTTTGACATCATCATCATTGTGTGTGTGTGTGTGTGCGTGTGTGTGTTTGTGTGTGTGCGTGTGTGTGCATGTGTGTGTGTGTCAGTGTGTGCATGCATGTAATCATATAATATGTTTGCATGCGGATACCTGCAGTTGTGTGGGTTTCTACCCCCCCCCCCCCTTCCACAGCTTCGGCTGCCATCGCTACATGCCTCCCTGTGCCTTTTTGCCAATGTGTGTGTGGGCCATGTCAGCAGGGTGGACGACTCGCGCACACCGAAGCAATTACTGTTCGGCAAACTGCCTGCCCCCGTCCTCGTCATGGCCCGAAGAAGAGGTGGCGAGATGTGGTGTCGACTGACCAGGCGGACCTCGGCGTGACCACCTGGCTTGAGAGTTGCCAAGATCGTCCCGGCTAGAAACGAGTTGCGAGTAGCACCCCACCGCCATGGCCCGCTCCTGATCCTCTTCTCTGTGTCTGTGGACGCCCGTTTCGTCGACCAGGAGACCTGAAATGACATGCCAAGTTCTGCGCTCGTGTTACCACTTGAACTTTCCGACATTCGCTATCATCGCGTACGCAATGGGCAAGATCAAGGTCAAGGTCAAGGTGTGTGTGTGTGTGTGTGTGTGTGTGTGTGTGTGTGTGTGTGTGTGTGTGTTTCCGGCCGGTTCCACTGCTCCGGCTGCCATCGCCACCTGCCTCCCTGCCTTTTTGCCGGCCTTTGCACCATGATACTTTGTAGAGATCTTAAAATTATTACTTCTTGAGCAAAGTGCACAATGCAATCCTGCAAATTCGGCTCCAGACTTCTGAAAAACCGACGCTGATAGATGTAATATTTATACCTTTATCGAAGTCCCAGAAGACACACTCAAAGACATCATCCACACCCTGAGAAGGAGCACAGACACATACATGTATTGATAAGTGAAATAAACAAAATCATCCTTCATTGTCCAACTGTAGGAAGGATAAAGGACATATGGAAACGAGTTAAGAGTAACTCTCCATCACTGTAACATTGTACAACTATTCAGTTTTCTTTTGCCTACATCATATCTCATCTTAGAACCTACATGCATTGACAAACACCTACCCTTTGCCTCTCATGCAAACTCGTCATATTATCAGTATTATAAAGCATTGCCGCATTCAAGTGAGTGGATCAATTAGGTCCACCCGCGGCCTCGTTCGAGGATAGATTCAAGTAAGGGTATAGTGATTGGAAAGGTGCTGAGTTACATGATACAAAAAATTATTTTCAATCAGGAAACTGAATGTGTTCAGCGCTCTGGATGCTATAATAATAACATTATTCTAGTTGCGATTCGTATTACACCGTAGCGGTTCATAACTTGGGCAGGTGACAGGTTCAAAGTCGCTATAACGAGTCTATGGCTCTCTATGTCTCACAGGAAATGAAAAACTTCAGTACAAAGGAGCCCAGGGGACCGGCTTCCATGCTGCCATCGCTTATGGGTGAAGAGATTATCTCATTGAATTCCTGGAAAAAATGTTCAAACACAAATGTTCAAACACACATATTCAAAGGTAGGATTCTTACAGCATCTGCTGTAGCCAGCAGCTCGAAGGACATCAGGGCTGGTTGTTTCAGATTATTCAGTCGTACACCACCAACTTGGGCTGAGATTATCTCTGAACTGACTGAAGTGTTCACACTAAGATTGGAGTCTTGGAAGAGAGCTGACGTTTTGTACAGTATATACTGTGTTGAAGCCAAGTTGCAGAGTGACTGGTTCGACAGAGATATCAAGTCAGTCGCTTTGCTGATTGTGCTGGCGGCGATGTCAAAGGCCACGCTGGATCTGCTCTCTGCAATGCAAAGACACACATAAGAACATAGTGCAACTCTGCTTGGAATATTGTTCAACGATTCACTAACATAGCAAATCAGCCACGTGAAAAACAATCTATTGTTCACGTTACACTCAGGGAGACTGCGATTTCGTCACCCATAAGAACACCACCACCATCATACGGTCAAAGAATCAGCATCCAAAAGACGTAGAGAGAGATAGAGAGAAAGAGAAACAGGGAGAAAGACAGAAAGGTGGAGAGAGAACGAGATAGTGAGAGAGGGACGGGGAGAGGGACGGAGAGAGAGAGAGAGAGAACGAAAGACAGACAGAGAGAGAGAGAGAAAGAGAGAGAGAGATAGAGAGAGAGAGGGAGAGAGAGAGACAACGAGATAGTGCAAGAGAGAGCAACGGAGGGAGGGAGAGAGAGAGACGGGGGGGGGGGGGATTTCGACGTCGTGCTGCTTCAGCCCAGCAATTTGCAGAGCTTCTCAGTTGGATTGAGGCGATTCGCCATTGACTTCATGATATGGTGGCGATCTTCTCTTGCACTGGCCTCTCTTGGTCGGTCTGATCGTGGTGAAATGCAGTCGATTTTTGTTTTCTCACAATTCTACGTATCGTAGGATCGCTCAAATCCAACAGAGGAGCGATACCACGCGAAAAGAGGATGTCTCGAGGTGGTCATACTTTGATGACAGGAAGTCCATGCTTGTTTCCATGTCCCGTACTGTACTAAGCGTAGACTGATGGGATGCCTCCACTGCAGCAATTATTCGACTTTCAAAGCTCTCAAGGCGTGCCTCAAGATTGATTTTTAGTGCTGAAACTTCGGCATGAGTACTCCCAACAGAATTTAGTACAGCACCAATCTTCTCCTCTATGAATGCACTCATGCCCACACGTAACCATGGTAACTGCTCAACTGTG